ATTCAAGCGGATTTATTCTCATATCACAAAAATATAGAAATAAACGAATATCAAAATATACACTTATATACTAATGTTGACAGCAAACAAAAGAAAAAGAATAATTGCATTAGCATTTTTAAGATATCCGCTCTTCCTTTGGCCCATTTTTCATATGATAAACAATGTAATTAATGTATACATGTGCATATACTATGAACATCAGATGAAAATCAAAATACGACCGTTAATAATATGAATATACCAATGACGTATGGTTATTTTCTTGATATGTAACTTATGATAACATGTGCGTCTTATAGACGAGTAATATAACTACTGCACCTGTGCATCGCACACCATTACAAAAACAAATTGGGGATAACGTTGTTACATTGTTGATCAGTAAAAATACATATTCAAACAAACAAGTCAACAGACGTTGTACCACGATAAAGTAAAGTAAATGTATACCTTTTTAATAATTTCATTTTATATTTAAAACTGAAATAATTCAAAGAGAATAAATATGATCTGCATATATTTGAGAGCGATTGAATATTAAAATGAGAGCAATAGTAGTAGTAGTTGTTTCATTTTTATAGCAAACTGGATTATTATTGCATTACCGTTATCATTAAACTTTGATTTATAACGTTTTTCAGTTTCTCATTTCCGACTGTTTATTTGTTGTATCCATTTTTCTTAAAAAAATAGCACTTAGGTAAATCCTTGTAGCATAACTTGCCAATTTGAGTCAAAGAATAGTGATATAATGATCTAGATTATATGTCGATGATAAATAGAAAAACTTCATTTTTATACATAGAATTGAACCAAAAATAATCACTAGTTTGGATTAGGTCTGCGTAATGAAATTCATTTCGAGTAGAAAATATATAGGAATAATATCACTATTTTTGAGATTGGGTTGAGTCAAGAAATACATTATTATTAGAAAATTATTGAAAATAAAAAAGAACTTTCTCAACGAACCCCAAGCTTGACAATAGAGATAACATTTCGGTATACTTTTGTATTGAAATTAATGCACAGTGCTTATTTTTCAAAGCATTAAGTTGAAATTTTATGAAATTTTTCTTATAGTCATTGCATTTCAATTTTCTATACATAGAAATTTACTATCTTATGGAACATTGGGGACATATGAGACATACGAAAGATATTCTAGCATTTAATGGACTACTAAGATAATTGAATATTTTTAGCAAAAGATATATGCCAATTTGAACAATTGAAATTTCATGTATCTAATTTCGTTGACTTGTTCAAATAATGATGCAGTTATCCCTTGCTATAAAGGATGGGATATCGTTAAGTGATGAAATATGTCCCTTCTTGAAATTGAATTTCATACTTTCCCAACAGTCAATTTGGCCGTCATGAGTCAATTACTGTTCGAATCAGATCGTTAGACTATATAAAGGCTGCACGTGGCTGACTTAAAACTCGATATTATCTAGCTGCTATAGAATTTATACGTATATGTCAAACTTGGAACTTGAATTGAATTGAAGAATAGTTTAAACTTGAAAAAATTGAACTGCAGTTTCCCAATTTTAACTATTCTAACGGAGGGCATCTCTCAATGAGGGTATCACGAAAACACACACACAGGATATCCGTCTCGTTAAATTTCGAGACTTGAAAGTTGAAAGGCGAAGAGTAGTTGTTCAATTGAATTTAACTTTCAAGTTGGACACTACTGCCAAAAGTCACATGTTTGACCTCCAGATAGTCGTAAAATCATTACAGTTACTATGCTCAGATAGCCCCTAACATGTTACAAAATCACGTTCAGGTGGTTCTAGAAAAATTACAGATAATATCTTCAGGTAGCCCTTCAAAATTTACAAGTAGGATGTCCAGTTGGCTTCCAAAAAGTTGCCAGTACAATGTCGAGGTATTCCTCGAAACACTATACGCATCTAGGCTAGCTATCAGGGTTATAACAATCCAGTAGCATTGTTAGAAGTAGGGAAGAAAATGGGTAGATCATGATAAAGTACGGATTTCAATTTGATTGACTCATTTTTTTGTATATGAAATGAGCCACGTTTCTTTGACTCTCATTTTTGGTTCACTTTCTACGATCTTTGAAAATTGGGTATGAATTATGCGATACCGATAAGTGTTTACTTCATTCATACCCACACATTCTCTTAGAAATAGTATTACCCAAGCAGACAACCATTTTCAAAAACGCGTTTAAACGCATAAAAAAAAGGGCTTAAAATCCATAAAAAGTGGACTTGTTTGGCTCACAATCGCGGTTCCCGACTGTCAGCGAAAAACGACCACTTTTTGCCCGTTTTGTGCGTTTAAACGCGTTTTCAGCAAAAAAACGGTGATAAACGCGTGTAAACGCATAAGACGATCAGAAAAAAGTTGTCATCTTTTTCATGCTCATAAATCACAATCATAATTACAATCACAGTTCACGAAAAGGAAAAAGATAACTACTTTTTATGCTCTTTTTATGCGTTTATACGAGTTTACAAGCGTGTTTTTGCTGAAAACGCGTTTAAACACATAAAAAGGGCAAAAAGTGGTCGTTTTTCGCTGACAGTCGGGAACCGCGATTGTCAGCCAAACACGTCCACTTTTTATGGATTTTAAGCCCTTTTTTATGCGTTTAAACGCGTTTTTGAAAATGTTTATCTGCTTGGGTAGAAGACGTTTTTCAGACGAAAAAGTTACTTTCAAAAAAAAAAGAATGATAGTTCAACATCAATTTAATGGATTGAAGTTTTGCTTGTAATTCGAAACAAAATTCTGTTTTGTTTAACTCCATCACAAATAAAGCTGTGATGCTTTCTGCATATGCCATACCAACAACAGGGACAATGACATCAACAAATAAGAATCTAAAATAATTCAGTATGTTTTAGTGATAACAAAAGTAAAATACGAAAAATGTTTTATCAATGACGCAGAATTATGCTTTTGGATCAGATACAACAACTTTCATTTTTGCAACGCAGCATCTGTCCATCACGCGATAGAACAAAAGAAAAGAGATATAAGAGAGTGATGTGTTATTTGTTTGTCACATTTCTAGATGAATTCGTCGACAAACATCGTGAAGTTGGGTTTTGCAGATAGTTCGATGAATCTAGTCAACAAATCGATCAGCAACGATGACTCTTCTCACAATGTAATATCAACGACAGGTATAGCTAAGAAACTGTAGTCAATTATTATACCCACTCCTGGCGACGGCTTCTGTCATAATACATTGCCAGAAGCTCAAAGAGAGACTAAAGTTATAATCAGATCAGCTCACCAATGTAGAGTACAAAATAGATAATAACTTTCGACTTGATAACAACTCCATTTTGCAACATGTCCTTTTCTCACCGAAATAATTGATTGAACTCGTCAAAAATAATCTTGTGAATATATTTGAAGAGAGACAGCGTACGAAATTATACTTAAAGTTTACTAAGACTCGTACTATGGCTCATCGATAAGTGGCGATATATCATCGACGATCGATATAGTAGTTTTATTCTATTGGTTGGTCTCATCACGTAGGACATTCTTTATTCAAGAGTGAGATAAATGTATGTTGAGAAGAATCATGCTACAATACATTGCTGATTTAACTATTGGCAGTATGAATAAAACACAAAAATTAAATCATTTCTTAGACGGATGGGCGTCGGCAGAAACTTTGGTCGTGTTTTTCGGCAGTTATTTATAAACCTCACGAATGGTCTGCCTTCAGCGATACTCTCATTACTAGCTAAAGTTGCAATGTTTCACAACACGATTTTTGACAGCTTTTTAGGAAAGAACGTTCTTTTTCTGTTTCTCTTTATTTCATTCTAGGATTGCAGAGCTATCATACTGCGGTGAAGCTATCAGAAACGACTAACCATTTGTAGTTTATGTTCGCTTTGTGATACGAACCTTCGACATTTGTGTTAGGAGTCTTTTGGTTTTTTTACTAAGCGATTTCAGAAAATCACAACATACCCTACAAACGTCGTTCTTTAGCCGTAATTTAAACTAATCGTTTCCAGTTGATCCTTCTAGAATATATTTAAAGTTGATTGCTCCATCTCTGATAGGTTTTATGATGTAGTCAGTGGGAAAAATGATTATCCTAATACTAATAATGAGCGTTCTCATGTCAATTTTTAACGTACATGCTTGAGAAAGCTCAGTCGTAAATGAAACAGGAACGAACGCAAAAGCTTCAGTTAATAGAAAACTGTGTTCAATTGAACCATATATTAACTGCGAAGTATTAGTGCTGCTTTTAATGTCTCTTTATGTTGAAACGTCAACGAGTGTTTGACTTCGATTTTGGAATATTACCGAGAAGTAAGAAGATAGTATGATTACCGTGTGAAAGTTTATCGATAGATGTAATATTTTTATACTCTTTCCTGTAGTGAAATTAAATTTCAGGGAAAATAGATATCAAGCCTTTGTTGAGTTTCGAGAGATTCTCTAGAAAATAATTCGAGTTTCGAAATAATCAACTATCATCAGCATATCTAACATTTGAAGCCACTTGACCACAACTATTGTCAATAATTTTCCTCTTGTTTATATGCAGCATAATCATTAGTTAAGCTTGAAGCATCTTCTTATATTGGAAAATAGCAAAAGTACATTGTTATCTATGACTATGAAGTACTGGCTTAACAAATGTAACATATGTACTTCTCGGTTTCTACAAAATCCTATTGATCTGAGGTTAACCGCATTCATTCGGTTGAGTAGCACAACACAAGAAAGTTTCATTGTGTTTTTTTCTCGGACGATAGACAAATGAGAAAACAATGAATAACAAGTAAACACATTTCAGTTATTAGATACGCTTGATCAGTGTTTATTTTTATTCAGTCTCAGAAGAACCTAATTCAAGAGAAAATGATGAATCAATCGATGCTGCACAACAAGAAAACCAAAACGGTATTAAAACATTGTTGTTTCGGCCATTACGAAAGCTTTATATTCATTGGACTAATCCTCTATTTCGTAAAATGTTATGGAATATTCTATTATTGGCATTGTCGTGGAGTCTCGGTCAAGGTATTTTTTTCATTCAAATAAGTATAACTACTCTAGCAGCTACAAGTTTTACCAACTGGTATCTGGCAACAATTCCTATTGGTTCTATGCTCTTTGTTGCTACTATTTGGTCTGTATTTTTACCACGAGTTATTGCTCGTTACGGCTATCGACCTCCATTCTATTTCGGTGCTCTGATGGGTATGATTGGAGCTGGACTTTGTATTGTAGCAGCATGGTTTAAACTCTATTGGTTACTAGTAGTGAGTGCTACATTTATTGGTGGACAAGTACCATGTACATTCTACTATCGTCTGGCAGGATTACAATTTTCAACACAAGAATTTGCTTCAAAAGCCATTGCGATGGTCACTGCTGGCGGTTGTCTGTCCGCTTTTATTGGGTACGTTCATAAGTGTTATAATTATTATTTCATCAAACTCTTCTCTTTATTTTGAAAGAATAATACTGAAAACATAGATGCTAGATTACGATTATCTGCCGTCATCACTATTTAAAAATATGGTTGCTTATTTGAGAATATGAGATAGAAGTGACACACAGTTTCTCTTCTATTCATAAATATTATTTTTTATGTTGTTGTAGGCCAGAAATAGCCAAACTTATGATCAATGTACTTCCAAAGCAATACAGTGGTGCTTATTTAGCAGCATTGGGTGAATGTGCGGCACTGTTATTCACCATGAGAATAATCCAATTTCCCAATGTTAAGAAAAAGCACAATGCAATAGAATCGACCTCGTTACCTACAACCATGGACAGAAATCTTCGTTCAAGTGGCCGGTCAATCTTTACGATAGTTAGCCAACGAACATTTGTGATTGCTGCTCTTGGTGGTTTTGTTTCATGGTCAGCGATGGGTATTCAAATGTCGGCTGCAGCGCTGGCAATGATTGGTTCTGGACATACTTTTCCTCAAGTGATAACAGCTGTTGAGTACCATATATTAGGAATGTTTGTACCGCCATTTTTTACTGGAACTCTATGTAACTGGTTTGGAAGCCGACTGGTTATGCTCACTGGACTTTTGATCCAATTTGTGGGTACATTTCTGTTTCAATGTGGTTTTGAAATTATCTATTTTGATATGGGTTTGGTTGTTGTTGGCATTGGATGGAATTTAGGCTATGTCGGATCATCAATTCTATTCACAAAATCATACTCTCCAGAAGAAAAAACAAAAACTCATTCGCTGTATGAAGCCATATTGATGTTTAGCATATCGATATCATTTTTCTCATCGGCATTTGCAGAACAATTTCTAGGATGGAAGACTTTAACTGGAATGTTAATTCGCATCTACCTGGCTGCAGCTGTGCTCATAGTGGTTGTAGATACGGCATTCGTATTTTATAAGACTAAAGATTTACGAATAGAAATAACAGATAACAACAAACAAGTAAAAACTCTAGAATTAAATATACAAGCTGGCTCAGAGTTACATGTTAGATAACATGTAAGAATTAGTTCATTTCATAACATTTTTCTACATTTGTATCTCATAACGAAATAGGATGGATATAGATATAGTAATTCATTATATCTCGATCCTCACCCGCATTCTGACTAAACAACGAGGAAAAAACAGCAAAGACTTCAGTCTTAAAGTCTCATGAAGTTTTGTGAAGTTTTTAAGCTATGGTTTTTAATATAATTATGTTGAAATATCATGAATAGAAGCGGCACTAGAGTTAGCACTTTTACTTTGTTTTAAAAGTTAATGTGAGATACTTTAATTCTTTAATATTAAAGAAAACAAAGTTAAAGTAGTTATCTGATGTAATAATGGAAAATTTATGCACTTGAAAATATCGCTATGTTCGAAAGATAATTTTTCCCTAACGAAATTTTCCGTTATTCAATAAAGTAACTTCTTAAACTTTGATTTTTTTAAAGTTAAAGTGTGTTAATTTAAGACATAATATCAAATCAATTATTTATTTTACTAAACAAACCTGTAAATCACGAATATTCCAAACATCATATCAGTTTTCACTTGTTAATATTTCACTTTTACAAAAACCTCGACAACTTTCAGTTACAAATTTAAAAATAAAGTTAACGTTTTATAATACGCACATTAATTATTCACTATTTGCATTGTTTCATACTTGTAGTGGAATGCGATAAAATGTTTGTTTTATAAGAGATTCATGATCAACTATTGTACGTCGAACATATTGCTTTATAAATGAAGAAAAATTTTTTATGTTTATCGATAGTCAAATAATTTATATGACAAGATAATGAAATAATATCTTTCATTTTTAATTTCAATTTATCAAGTAACAACAAAAAAAATAATAATAATAAAGCGACCTGATACTCTTCTCGTGCATACCACTCGACAAAACTCTTGTATGTCATGTTGACAAAATTCATCTGGTTTGTTTCATCCAGAAAAAACAATAAAGTTTTTTTATGAATTGTTTAAAAAGAAACTAGAGTATACTCAAATGAACGTGCCAATTTCTTTGTATTAATTGGTCGATCAGTAAATTGTAGATCATAAGAAATTTTTTGTAAGGCAAGTGGAACGCAATGTACTTGATCATCACTATCCATTGACAGTGCATATACAGCCTAAATACAAACAAATTGTCAATATCAACTATAGTAATAATTTAACCTAGACAAATTTTTCGAGTTTAAATGAAACGCATCACTCTGAATTGAATGAGCAATCTAAACCGTTTAAGATGAAATTCAACAAACCATTCGTAGTTTTTTAATAAAATAAATTATTTGTAAAAGTGAATTCATATCACAAGTTGCACCAATGTTTCTCAAACCAACAAAACCACATTATCCTTCTGAATCCTACTACAATTAAATATATTCAGATCTTTTTTACAAAAAAAAACAATTCTCAGCTTACTCTACATTACGTGGAACTTCAGCATGAATTTTTGCTTTGATTAGAATTATATTATGTCTTGCCCATGTATGAATGCATGATAGATTTCCTGATTTTCACAATATACATTTACTTTCCACAAAGTTTTTATTTGGATCAATAGTATGTAAAAGAGTTATATAGTTCAACTTTAGCAAATATAGACTAGCCAGGTGGAAGTTTTTCTGGTTTATATTTAAAAATAACACAAAACTTTCCACCATCATGATGATAACAATCATAATTTGGTTTGAAAAACGCCCATAAAGTCGATAGAAATCTACGAATTATTGATTGATCACGTGTTAATTGACCATATTGTGGTTGTGATGGTGCAGTTATATGAAAACGAATTGAACCACCATGACGAAATACTATTTAGTAGAAAACAAGTTGAAATGAGATTTTTTTTTTGCTATTTCGTATGATTTCAGTTATTGTCATCTTTTCCATTATCAAAACTGACATGAACAATTGAATCATTAGAAAAATCTTCAGGTTCAATTTTGGTTGCTTCTTCACCTTTTTTTTCTTTCTCTTCAGATCTTTCAGATTGAATCAAGCATGTCAAAGCTTTCATTTATTTAATATTTTGATTTATATGAGTTATTACGATGGAATAATTATAATAGAGGTGATTAGTACGTGTGGAAGAGCAAAAAAAATGACAGAGTTTCGATTCGAAATAGTGTTTTATTGTTCTATTTGATATAATGAAATATTTTTGATACTCATTCTTTGTAGAAACTCATATGTTAAAATTATATGTCTGTTTGAAGCCAATCATCGTGTTTATTATTGAAAATAAAATTGGTTGCTGTGAATCACTTTCATATGATTGAACTAAGTTTCAGCATCAAAAAGGTGCTGAAGTGCTAGTCGTTCCAAATCTGCACTTTTCCCTTTGATAATAGATACGATTGAGTAAATCTAACGAAAACTTCGTGTATGGATGGAATTGAACCTATTATCAATAAGAAAGTAATATTATCGAATATAATATTTGGAAAGTTATTGCGTATCGTTTTTAGACGATCAAAGGCGAATGGAAATAAAAACAGCATTAATTACAGTACAGCCAGATTTGCAATAATCTATAAAACAACTCAGTTGTCCATATTTAAGATTAGTAAAAATTCGTTGAATATCGTTATTTGAAGAAGATGAAACAGGTTGTTCCGCACGAATTTCGGTACTAATATAAAAGGCGAATGTATGAAGTTATTAAAAAGGAATAACAATGTAATTTTGAAGTTGAATACCATCGATATATCTAACTCGATTGTATATATACAAAAAAAATATATGGTTAATTCCTCAATATTACATATCCAATGAAGCAGAGGAACAGTTTGAGTATCATATGCATAACTTAAATGACTAATTTTCAATGAAAAATATTTCATATTGGGTAGATCATCATATTGAAAAATCAAAACAATACATGATGTACGTATAATCAATAAGGACAGACGTGCATAAGAACAGGAATCAGCTTACGAACCGATTCACATAAGAAGTTTATTTTCGGATACAAAATTTTACGGCGAATCTTTTGATGCCAAATTCAATATACAGTGGCGCTTAAAATTGTTCGTACACCTGACAAATGACCTTGTTTCTTTAATCTATCAAGATGAGTTCAAGATATAGAAGTGCGGTTTGGAGTGTGTGGGTGGATGTGGGTGTGGAGGTGGTCAAAAAGAAGATCCGTCACGACACCAATACCTACACCCACACTCACACCCACCCTCAAAGCTATCTATCATAGTATGTTGAGAAAATGAATTTTATATGGAGTATGAATGTTGGTGCCAGTGAAGAGAACACTCAACTCAGACTAATACCCGATTCATTCTTTTTACAATTACTTTGATTGCAATTCATTAATCAAAAGAATATTTCGATGTCGATATTGTTCTCTTTTGATCTATCATAACACAAAATCATATATAAATCGAACAAAGCTCAGATGAATATTTTTGATTTATTTAATAACATTTTCAGTATCTCAAAAATCACTTGTTTGGCTCACAATATCACTCTCTAAGAATTTGACATTCTGACAACAATAGCTGAACAATACTGATCTTACTGTTTTGAAGAAATCAATTTTTAGATAATATATCTTATGGTCTATTCATACTGTGAAAGAATGTAGCACTTTCACTTAATAATTTGTTATGCATAAAGTAAAAATGTAAGTTACTGTTTTATCATAGCTCATTTATGATGTTGCATACAAAATCTCACGAACTCCTGATGACGCTCATATTTTTAGTAAAGATGAAGATCTAACATGAACTATAAACTCTTTGATACAAGAGAGTACTTATTGAAATCATGGAACATATACTAGACGGAGAAAATGAGCAGTATATAACATCAACTATTCGTTGGTATTCCATACAGCAAGTTGAGCTTCCATGCAGTTATAAATTAAATTCTTTTAAGCGTGATATTTCACATTTCTTTCATTTGTAGCCAGAGTTTGTTTGTGTCGGCAAGCACCATATTTCAGGTAATATATGACTTGATTTCAAATACTTCATCAGTATTTATTAAATTCATCGACAAATTATAGAGTTCAAGAATTTGGATCACTATCCATCCACTTAGCAAGTTCGTTTTAATGGTAGCTCGTTAGTGTAATGTTGTATTTATATTGATGGATGAATATAGTAGAAAACATATCGAAAGGTTCATTAGTAATTGTTGACACAGGTTATATAATAATTAAGTACTCGTAAAAAAAGAAAAACGAGAATTACATTTTTTTGTATAATTTTTAGCAATAATTCCCGTCATGAATCTTGAAGGTGTGGATGTGGATGATGTTGCACATGGGTTTAAGAGATTAAGTGCTCTCATACCGACAACCCAATGTGCAAAACAATAGACACTTATAAAACTTGACAGTTCAGCATAATAGGTACATATAAAATTGCTTTTTTTAGAAAAAAGTAAGCATATTAATTATTAGCGTGTAACTATTATTTTTCAAATGAGCTATTTACTGTTAAGAATAAGGTATCAAGAAAAAAAATGAATGAAATTGAATTATGTAATGCAACATTAATCAAGGACTATTTCTCAAAATTATCATTCTCTCTCCTACAAGAGTCAGAGAAATTTACTTCATAGTAGCCGTCTCAAAAATAGCTTGCAGCTCTTATTTAGTAGAAAGGACGGGGGACTGTTTGTACACAAATCGGCCCTAAATGAAAATCTCTCCTGAAAACAGTTTGATCGTGTGAGTTATGCTTCTCCCTTCAACGCTAAATCACTCTCAATGCGCGTAAGAGATTTTCATGAAGACCATATACTACATTCTATCCTATATAGCCTCGTAGTCCATTTGAGGACAGATTTGAATCCTTGATAGTCCGTTGTAGTGCTTATCAACCCAACGGTCGTTGGTGTAAAAAAGCGATATATATTCAGGGTAGACACAGCTTTCCAAGAGCTACAAAATGATGGCAAAATATGTAGAAAAATATGCGACGTGCGGTGTTTTTTCCAGGCCACACTGGTAAAATTGTATGAGGAATGCTCTGATCTAGATGTGCTGCCCATAGGATCTCGATTGTAGTTCATAGAATATACTCGTTGGGGAATCAAAAAGTCCGAAGAGTCAGCATTTGATATTGTCATCGACTGAAATTTGGCAGATATTATTGACCTAACTCGACTGACGATTCAGCAAAGTTGTGAAACCCATGAAAGTAAAGACCTAGCTTGTCGACGACTTTATGATGGAGTTCTTTTTCGCTTTGCTCGAAACGTAGGCGACTGCAAGGGATAGTGCATCAGCCGATTATGGTACATTCTTTTGATAAGCTTGGAAATTTATATATAATAAGCAGTTTTCTGGTAGACAGGTCCCAAAGTTTATACAGGTATCGTGTAGTGAACGCGGTATGCTGAAATGGGTATATTATCAATAGCGGATCAATGCTAAAATAAAAATCAACTCCTTTTGTCGATTGAATATTAGTAGTGTATGCTCGGAATGACTCTCAAGTTATTCTTCTCTGATATACTTCCTAAAGGACAAAATGAATGGAAACAGTACGCAGGAACAGCAACTGCCTTTTCACGGCACCAATAATGCTGAACAGCGAAAGCGGAACCGATCTGATTCACATGAAAGTCACCTCTAGGTCAGTGATATTCCTCCCACTACAATGTGCTAGAGATCGACAATAGAGCACGTTGTTTTCTCACAATACTGTATCATGCTGCACTCTATTAAACACTTTGCTTACTTTTGTGATGCGTTCAAACAGATATAACCTCTCTTGTTCACGCACACTTTCATAGTATGGTGTGCCTAAGCCGCTTCTGCTATCCATAGTGCACACGTGTACTATACTTCTGCAGCAAATGTTACTTTTACACACAGGATTCACAAAACGTTGATTACTCAAATGAAAAATAGCGCTGTACTTTTTCTCGATGGTTCAAAAATGTTTCCAGAAATGGAATCTAGTTTCTTTCATAGGCATCGCCTCAAATCACAGATCCTTGAAACCGAAAGTACCTAGCAAAAGCTAACCTCTACTGCCTGTAGAAGTTCTATTGTTGTGAAGACTCCGGTGAACTATAGTGAAGATTCTATAGGCAGCATTTCTAGATCAGAGCATTCCTCATAGGATTCTACTAGTGTGGTCTTGAGAAAATATCGAGAACAACATATTTTCCTATATAATTTGATATCATTTTGTAACTCTTGGAAAGCTGTGTCTACCCTGAATATATATCTTCTTCACACGAACGATCGTTGGGCTGATAAGCACTACAACGGACTACGAGGCTATATAGGATAGAATGTAGTATATGGTCTTCATGAAAATCGTTCATGTGCATCGAGAGTGATTTAGCGTTGAAGGGAGAAGCATAACTCACACGATCAAACTGTTTTCTGGAGAGATTTTCCTTTAGGGCCGATTTGTGTACAAACTGTCCCCCATCCTTTCATCATACAATGTTTTTCAATTTTGTTTGCAAGTTTCTCTTGATCGTCGAGTCCTGTCTGTTACTTATTATTATTGGATAAACACTAAAAAAGACAGAAAACTACAATACCAACTGTAAATAAATAATCTCTAAATCTATTTCAGGTAGAATATTTCAAATATCACACATATAGTAAGACTAGAGTATATTAAAAAACCGTTCAACAACAAGCAAGTATCTTTCTCTAAATCATTTATTGAAATGGCGATACCTCATCGGCTACAAATATGGCATCACAATCTAAGTGAGCAAATTATTCGTTGGAATCTTTTTAAAGATGGATTAACGGAGCCTGCTATTATTCATCGTCAAATTCTAAAAACACGTCTGTTTCTGATCTTATTTGTTATTGCTGTTATCATTCTGTTAGCTTATACGTCAATCAATGAACAAACCAAAACAGTAACTTTGGAACACCCAGATCTCGTTACATTTCAAAGACTTGAGAATGAATACTTGAACACTTTGAATTGTCCTTGTGCACAAATTTCAATTCCGCATGGTCGATTCATAGAAACTGAACCATTTTTTCATCAGGTTTGTTCTAGTGATTTCGTCTCA